AAAGAGAGTGCCAACCCCTGATCTAGAGATTCCAAAAAAGAGAGATCATACTATTTTAGTAGTCAGACCTTGTACAACCCAATAGGACGCTAGGTGTCCTGCTGTACTATGTCATGCTAAGGGTTTGGCATTCTCCCTACCCCTTGTTGAGAGGCCTATCCTTAAAAGATGTGAGATTAGTGTCGTCCCCTGTGAAATAGGAACAACCGTCTTTCAGGTTAACTGGAGTGTTCGGATGAAATGGGCTAGATAACCGTTCTGAAATTCTCCTTTCCTCAATGTGCTGAATGATCACACCCACCAGGGAGGTTTACACCATGTAAACTCATACTCTGAAGATCGAGATCCCTTTAGAAGCCTGGCAGATTATAAAACAAATATCAAAGAGCAGCCACAAGGGCAACAGTCCACACTCATGCTTGCCTTACTATTGGTTGTCACCATTCATAAGCCACTATGCTGGGCCTTTCAAATCCATGATTCAATTCTTACAACAACTCTACATGTCAAATAAGTGGCTTTATGGATGAAAAGGTGGATCGAGACTCAGCAAGAATAGTTTGCCCAAGGTCAAGAGCTAAAAAGCTATGGGTGAGCACCATTTGAATTCAAGTAGATCTAGACTCAGTTCTAAGTTATAGGCTTTTCAGCTCTTGGGGCACTTCACATACTGGAAATCCACATATTTGAGGACACTGCCACCTAATTACTCACTGGCCACCATGCCCACATTCAAATATATTTTTAACAGTCAAGTCTCACCTACATTCAAATATATCCAGTACTTGCTGAATACTTATCTCATGCCTGACATGGTCTGAACATGCTTTCTACATTGGGTCCCTAACCTCTCCCAATTCCATGTCTGTAAAACACCTTTGACTGTATCAGTTTAAGAGCATGAATGTTGAATTAAATGAGTGCTGGGCATTTAGGAAATTTTTAATAGGTCCCACAATTACACATACTAAGCTTTATGCTGTTTAAAGTAGTATTCATGTTTTGGTTTTTATGTAAAATGAGGCTCATACACTTAAGATTCATTCTAGCCCACATCCCTGTAAGATACAGGTGCTAGCTAAATAACAATAAACAGAAAGTGTGGGAACACCCAAGCCACTGGTGTAGATATCTTAAGAGGTCCTACCATGAGAGGGGGAATTAAATTTGAGTTATCCAATAAAAAATTAAAAAAAAAGAGCAATTTGGGAAAAAAAAGGAAAAAGACCATTAAGAGGATTCACGGAAATGCATAGCAGTGATAAGACAGCTTTAGCCCAGGGCGCTGACAATCGCTGGCCCTTTTTGAACACCTCTAACTTGACAGAAATAATTTCACAAACTGGAGGAGGGGAAGTGGACCTTCAAAAATGGGAGACTGTCTTGGATTTTTATAATGAAAAGGTTTGTGCTTGGCACATAATTTAATAAATATTCATTGATTGCTTACTAAAAAAAAATTTGAGTTATCATCACAATGTTTATTTTAAAATATAAGTCTGGAGTATGTACTATGATATTAACAATTGGATTATAATATCTATTTTAGAGACCCAACCAATCAATCATTAAAAACCAAGACTAATTTTCCTTAGTGAAATTCAGAAATTTGTATTGAGTTTAAAAGTAACTTTTGAAAATATATTTTTAAAAAATGACAGCTAGGAGAGACATTACTAAGAGCATCCAAATTAATAGTAGCAACCAGAGACTTACTTTCCTGCTACCATATTGTTTCTTTCCTCCTCCTTAGCCACAGCTGTATAGTCTCCAGCACCCTCTTTTTGTTCTCATTGCCTTTGTTATAAAACAACACTTCTTGGAACACCCAACATGCCTTCTTCCCACAGCTAGGATTACATGGAAGGTGGGACATTCCCTTACTTTTTTTTTTTTTTTCTTTTTTGGTATATATTGCTGTAACATGCCCTATTTTGCATTATATCAACCAGATCCTGTATCCTCTTACTGAAAGGCCCACTCATTGAGTTGCCTAAGCTACTGTGACTAAGCTTCTTCTCAAGTATCTGGTTTCCATAGTGACAGAACAGCTATCGCATTGTCAGGCATTCATTTCTTTATGTGTCTGTAGGAAGCCACATGCTTCCCTGACAATGCTCAGGAACACAACTAAAAAGCAGTCTTGCCATTGAACTGCTTTTAGACTTTAGGGGAACAAAAGTGGTGCAAGACCTTCGGATCAGCTTAGTTGTTATTGCTAGGGCGTATCCTTGTTGAACCACATATTTTTACAAGGCTTGATGAGAAGTGAGAGCAAATTCGGATCAACTCTAATGATCTCTAGTGAGAACATTGAGTAAGCTTTCTTGCATGCTCTGCTTATGACTTGACATCCTCAGTAATGCATCTTCTAGTCACCCTGACAAGAAGAGATGCCTCCAGGTGATGAGATAGCAATTCAGCCACAGTATCCAGCACAGAGGTGATGCTCAATAAATGTGTAGGAGGAAATCAAGCCAGCACCCTAGGGAGCTTCTGACCCCAAAACTGGGCACTGCTGAGCCTTAATTTGGCATCTCCTTCCCAGATCAGTCCTTCTGGGTGCCCCAGGCTCACCTTACAACTTCCTCCTTGCCTTATCCCAATAGGCATCTAACAGGCATCTCAAACTTGACCAATGCTAAACTTTACATTTTTCCTCCAAAGTGGTTCTTCCCCATCTCGACAAATACATGACTATTTTCACAGGTGCTCAGGACAAAACCTGGGAATTATATTTCACTTTCTCTGTTTCTTAACTACTCACTACTCCAATCCAAATAATTTCTGAATTCTATTCTCTCTTTGGAAAATAATCCAGGATCCCACCTTTTCTAATTCTACTGCTAACGATTCTGATCCCTGCTAAAGCTTCCTATCGAGATTCCTATTTTTCTTTCCCTACCATTAATTCTCCACAATTTGCTAAGTACTCTAAAATTGTAACTCTGAGCTCACCTCCCCCTTGAAGTTCTCTGATGACTTCCTGTGGCATGTGGTGAGATCAGCCTTCCTAAGTATGGCTGGGGAGGCCGTTTGGAACCTGTCCTCATCCCCAACCACATCTCTACTGAGGCTCTGTCTTCATCACTGAGCTCAGTCACATGGGGCCTCACTGTCTGTCAAACAGCAAATCCTGTCCTGTCTCCACTGGCTGTTTCCTCTGTTTAGAAGGCTTTCTCCAGATGGCCACATGCAGACCTCAGGCCCAAAGTCACCCTCAGGAAGATCTTCCTCAAAACAGGCTTCTTTAAGTTTCCCCTCAGCCTCCTCAACTTATCAACAAAGGGTAAACTTAAAATTAAATAATTCTGATCACCCATACATACTTTAAAGAATATATAAGGTTGACTTTTGAGGATTATATGAGAAATATGATATGCCCAAGTATGAGAAAATTAAATAAGCAAACCAAATATTATTTGGTAAAGCCCTAAAATACTTATGGTTGATACTTAAATATGAAAGCAAATTCAAATTTTATATTTACACACACACACACACACACACACACACTTTTGTGTGAGTTCCAATCACCAGCTTTCTTCTTTAAGAGTTAGCTGAAGTGACATAATTGCTCAGTTGAGAAGATATTCAAGGCTTTGCGTATTCACGACATGTTGATAGTTCAGTGTTTAATAAATTTTTAGGTGACAATTTTTATAGAAAAAATAACACAAAACAGACAACAACACAACTCATGCTTACTGAATCCTCATTGTGTGCTGGCCACACAAAACTTTTTTTTTTTTTTTTTACTGATTCTATGAACTTTTATTTGTTAATTATCTTCTTCTCATAGAGAATTTACTTAACAATAAGATGGGACATACTGTGTTTTATAGATATGTCTAGACAGAAATTCAAATTATGTAATATCCTTGTTCTTGTTTTTGTGTGTGTGTGTGTATGTGTACACACATGTGTGCTTCTAGCCTTTCTGTGATTAGGTGTGACTTTAGGATTAGGAAAGCTGGATTGTTAAGCTAAAGTGATCATATCCATACCTTCACCTCCAGATTGCATAATAGTTCCACAACAGGAACTCAATGCATATTTATTAAAATAAATATCTATGGAAAGAAGGAATACTTGGCCTATTTGTAATGAGAACATACTCCATTTATGGGTATCAATTTTAATATTTAATTCTGATAAAACCCTGGAGTCATCAAGATGTAAGAACTCAGTTTCTCAGGCTCCAAAACAATAGCTTCAAGGATCTATGAATTAATATTATTTCTTTAAAGATTAAAAAACTAGAAATATCATTTACAGGAGAATTTCAGGAATTAACTGCAGTTAATTTAAATAACTTGAGTTTTTCATGGGAAATATTTATAAAACCAATAGGCAATATACTAAAAAGAAATTTTCAGGTTTTGGGAAACCCAAATGTAGAATACATTGAAATAGATGATCTACTCATAAGAGGTGGTCTGTAATATTCTTCTTTACCTACAATACCAAGATAAATACTTCAGCTCTAACATGGATGTATTAGTCTACTGCTAAACATGCAAACCATTCAAATACATTTAGCCCCAATAGCAGTGAACATGTAAAGACATACATAACAGGCATTTTAAAAGTTAAATACCAATACTGCTCATCACTGAAGATAAGAGCAAGTAAAATATTTGCTCTATTAATGTTTTGGGAATTAAAGGACAAGGCAAATAAAAAATACAACACAAAAATATCTTTCTATGTAACCTATGTATTTTAGATAGCATTCAATCATGTTTATTCATTGGGTCTGAAATAAGCATGAGTTTAATAGCATAATGTCTAATTTTTAAAGTTGTAAAAATAATCTGTTTTGGTTCCTTTATGTGTTTATGCCTTACTTGTATATTTGACTATAGCAATAAGTTATTTTCCTTTTTATATTTTTAATTTATGACATCAATTTAAATTTTGCTTATTTGGACAACAAAATAAATTCTAGGCATATTTATTCCAAAGAAATTTAAAAATGGATGCCTGTTGGTACTCACCCTCCCATATCTGTTGGCGTAGGACCCCGTAAGCAAGGAATGGAAAACAATGATTGTCTCATCCAAGTCCCAGATGAACACTCTCTACAAAGGAAGAACCAAATCAATGTGTCTGCCATTGGTTGAGAAAACTGTTATCCAGTTAACTTCAACATAAAAATGTAGTCTTAAAATGGGAGAAAAATGAAAAATCAGAATTTACTTGTTTTTAAGACACAACTGTTCCAAAAAGCTTCTTGTAGACTTTTTTCTTACTCAGATATTGTCTCAGATGAGGTATAAGAGGACAATTATACTGGCAATATCAATCTAACAGGGGAGGGATAATGTATATTCTTTTCCTTTTGTAGTAGAATCCCAAACAAAAAATGAACTATAAGGTTTGCTCTTCTGAGATGCAGAAGACAATCCATTAAAAATCACTCAATTTATCTTTTTTTAAATCCTTGTTCGTTAAGAAGTGTTAAAATAACTAATCTTGTGTTTCATTCTTATCAAGCCAAAAAAAAAACTGAAACTTTTCATCTATGGACCTTGTGTCAACTATTGAGCAGTTATCAAAGTGATGGAATGTATTGTTGACTCTTTGAATCCAAGTCCCAGATGAACACTCTTATTATTCAAATAATCCACACGTTATTCAAATAAGAACAGAAAATACTTGGAAAAAGAAATTTCATCTGTGCTGAACAGGTAGACTTTTTTCTTGTTTATTATTCCCTAATAATGTAAGATAGCAAACATTTTCATAGTCTGCATTGTATCATGTATTGTAAGTAATCCAGAGAGGATTTAGACTAGTGTTCAGGAGGATGGATACAAGTCACATGCAAAAACTATGCCATTTTATATCAGGGATCTGAACATCTGTGGATTCTGTCACTTGCAGGAGTGTTCTGGAACCAATTCTATGAATGCCAAAGGATGGCTGTATATTTTTCTGGCTGGGATTTTTTTTTTTTTTTTTTTTTTTTGGCCCTCAGATATTTAACAACGTGAGCAGACAGACCACTCATACTCTTGGACACCCTTTTGGGGTATTTTGAATTGGATTTGGAGGAATTCATTTCAAAAAGGTCTTTGAGACACCATGAAAAACCTCCCAAGTCTGCTTCTCTTCTTCCTAGTCCTACTCATACCAGTACATATTCATGCACATAGATGTTGCTGGAAATTTTTTCATCTTTTCAGCCAAAATAATCATGTTTTCCACCATCAGATTTCACTTTGGCAAAAGCAGAAACTTAACTGCAGTGGACTCAAGGCTATGAAATCTACCACCCTTTCTTACTTAATCCTTCCTGCTTTTGAACTATACCAAAACATGTCTCAGAAGGTGATTACCATTTCAATTTAGAATATTCCAGGCTTTCCTTTCTCAATACACACAAGTGTGTCTTCAATTTCAAAGTGAACTTTATTAAGCATTTTTAGTCTGCCACTTATTTAATAGAAATGGCAATGGTACTGAATAGTACAACAGAATCTTGTTCAAGAATAATGACATAGTTTTTATATATTTCATAAGTCAAAAATAAATAAATGCTTTACATATAGTTACTATGAAAGAAAACACAGAAATATATAATTGTATAGGGCTTGGGATGTAGCTCAGTGGTGAGGGCTTTCCTACCATGCATAAGGCCTTGGGTTCCATCTCCTGCACCACAAAAAAAAAAAAAAAAAAAAAGAAAAAAAAAGAAAGAAAGAAAAAAAAAACAGAAAAAGAAAAAAAAATTGCATAACCTACCTATAGTTAATATGGAAGAGAGAAAATATTGCTTTAATGTTAATATGAAAAAGAAAGCAATAACAAAAGCATTTGGATGCTGATCATAGCTGTTTCTATAGAACCCAGTCAGGTACAGGATGCCCTATATTTACAAGAGTGTCAGCAATGACATACCTCAAGATCAGAATCTGGAGGAGGTGAAGGATTATTGTTTCTTCTTCCCCGTCCACGCGATTTCCCATCTGAACCTCGACGCAATCGATCAGAATCTGAATCTTTAATGGGTGTTGAAGGGCTGTGTATTGTACTGTACTCTGTAAGAACACAGGAAGGACTTTCATCTTTTAGTTCCACCACCATGGTGTCAAGATCAACCTTGTTTTAACTCAGAGGGAAGTTTGAAAAGTAAAGAACATTTCATTCTGCTTAAGTCCTACATTATCTTTAACTTGCATTTGGTAAATGATTTATGAGATATTTGATTCCAAGATCCGTTTTGAAAGAAAGAGTGATCAAAAACAATGAAAATTTAATTGGAGGTGAAAGACAACAGGCTGTACTAAGTTGCCTAGATTTTCCTTGGGGTTCTCTGTCACTAGATGGTATCCCCACCACCACCACCTCATCCACTTCTCTCACTCCACAAATGGCACCAGGGTACACTGACAGCCATACCAATTGGGTGTTCATTTGCCTTTGCTGTGGCTCTCCCAGCTCCAAGAAGAATTCTGGTTCATGGGAAAAGATGAAAAGGAAAACCATCTCTGTGGCAAGGAAAACCAAGCCAGCAAGCAGATTTTTTTTTCCTTTGGAAAGTTTTAAGTCCCCATTTTCTTCCCCATTGTATGTGACAGCAAGCAGGTGGACAAGATAAGGAGGGCAGATATGTGGACAATGCCTGTACTTTGTATAGTACCCGTCACAAGTTCTTCTTGTGTCTCAGTCTCTGAACCAAACATCCCAAACCAGGCAAAACATCAACATTATTTATCTGGCTCACTCAGAAAAACCAGTGAAATAATTACACAGAAACCACAAAATAAAGAACAACTCCCGAATAAAAAAGAGCTGAGCAGTGGGTGTGAAGTTGGGATAGATTCTTATCCTGTGTCCAGAATGAACAAAAACCATTCACTGTCATTTTTAGGCACAGTTTTCCTCCATCTATCTAGCATACCAGATAATCTCCACGATCCCCAAATTCCAAATACCCAGTGTGCACACTCTCTCTCTCAGCTCTTTCTTTACTAGATAAGGGTTAGAGTCTCTCCATCTAATAGGAGGCCTGACTGTTTCCACTCTGATGTTGACATGTATGTCATTAAACAGAAAACTACACACAGCAGCAATTAAAGGTCTGACAGCTTTTGATAATATACCATCAGCCATAACTCCACCAGCAAGGCCATCCGTCATGTGCGTCAGAGCAGATAGAAACAGACTTAGAACAAATTTCATTCTAAATTACATCAAACAGCTCTGTAGTTCCTGTTTAATCTGAATACCACCATAAGCTCTCACCACTATTAGACGAGACTTTTGCAAGTTTTCATCCATCACTAACAAGACGGCAAACGTCCTCATATAAATTGACCATGCACTTCTCATACCCAGAAACCACAGGATGGCCTATAAGCCCATTAGTTAATTATGGTCAATATGTCCACAACAACTCCTCTCAATGGATCAACTTATTTAGTTATCTGGGATGTATTTTTGAGCTTATTCATCTCACAGGCCTGTTAGAATATGACACTGGCTGATCAATATTAATCATTCTCTCAGTCTATGTTAATATTCTTGTATTACAGGGCCAGATAGCTAAGGTGTCTTCTCCTTAAGATGTTCTGAGCCAAGCATCAATCTTCCATATTTTACAGAGATGCAAATGAATATATTTTAAATTTGTTAAGGGGATTTAAAGTTGTTTGTTGAAGAAAAATGGCCTTCCGTATTTAAAAATATACTGCAACATACATCTCCATGGAGGCATCTAAATCATCCCTTCCTGAAATAGAACTGTGAACAATCTCTTTCAGGGTTTCAAAATAAGATACATTTTGCAATGGGCAGAGCGGGCATTTGATTCAACTGCACTTCCAATACATCCACTATAAAATCTATCTCCAGTTGTGACTTCTTCAGCTTTTGGAAGTTCTATTTGATAAGAACTAAAAGAAATCAAGCAATGTCTTTTTGCCTTAACCCATGTCCTTGACTTCTGGATAGAGTTAATTTTGTCTTTAAAGCAGTTCACCTCATGTAGGTTCTCTTAACTTATATTTCCTCTTATTGATTGTCCATTCCTTTATTTATTTATTTTGGTGTTTACCTCTTCTTTTAAATTACAAATTAAAAATTTTTAAATATTCACCTCAACTTTTCTTTTCTCTCTTTTTTGTTCTTTAAAAAAATTAGATAAGCTATAATTTTGTAAGCCCGTCTTAAAAAAAAACAAATTGAGCTAAGAAAAAATGTGAAATCATGTTATCTAAGAGAAAAAAAAATCCCTAAAAGATGAACAACCTGATACCTTTAAATATTAAAGTAAATGCACAATCACACCTTACAGGCTTCCACTTATTAGAAGACAAAATGAAAAATAAGGCAAACTACATAAAAACACAACAACAACAACAACAACAACAACAACCCCTCTTGCTTTTTGTTCTATGAGGTGGAATTAAATGCTTCTGAGTTTCTCTACCAGCTTTCCTTACTCTAACTTCTCCTTCCTCCTAGTTGTACAAAAACAACTCAAATAATTTAATCTTCTAATCCATGGACAGCTCATGTTTCACTAAAACCCTCTTTAAATTATTCAACTTTACCCCCACTGAGAGCATGGGTGTGAAAATACTTTGAAGAGCATTCATTTAAGAAACCAGGAACTGGATGTTATGTTTGCATTGTTCTAGGCACTGTGCAAGGAGCCTGAGAGTAAGGATGTACCAATAGACACAGTCCCTGTTCTCTGGGAGCTTAAAATACAGAGGAAGGCATTGACTCATACACAAAAATGAGAAGTTGCAAAACAATGTGGAGAAGATTCTGACATGGAAAAGGCAGAATGCTGGGAGACCATGGAGGAAGTCCACATAACTCAGATCCCCAAGATACCAACGGGTCCTAGGCAGGCGCATGAGCAGGTAAAGGTACAGAGAGAAAATCTGTTGTGATTAAGAACTGGAAAACAAAAACAAAAAAATGAAAATGATCTGCCTGAATGCCCAGAAGAGCATAGCACTGAAGCTGGAAGGACAAGCAAAGAATTCCACAAGCAACTGGTGCCCCACCTCTAGCATGGAAAGGGCAGGAGACAGGTCACCACTGAGAAAGGGAGGCCAGTCGGAGGATAATTCAGTAATCCACATGAGGGATGGTGGTGACCTGGACACAGGTGGTAGGGATAAAGATGGTGACAGACACGAAGTATCATTTAGAGGTAAAATAAAAAACTACCTGTTATGGAAGAAAGAAGAATGCAAGGACTCTGCCCTTGTCAGTAGTGTGGCATCTGGGTGGATTTTAATACTAAGTATGGGACTTAGAAAGAAGAAGGAAATTATAGGGAAGACTAGAAGGGAGAATTCAGGTTCCGCTTTGGACATAATTTGAGGAGACTGGAGGCATCCAAATACAGATGCCCAGTATACTGCTGGACCGCTCCAAAGCTCAGGAGAGAAATGTGGGCTGGGTTCGGGTTTGGAAATTGGTACCAGCTGTAATTAAAGAAATGGGTGTAGATGAAGCAATGTAGTGTGTATAGAAGGGATGGACTGAGAGACACAGATGGGGTGTCAAGAGAAAACCCAGGTCGGTATTGCAGAGGAAGGCATTCATCAGGAAGGAAGGAGTGATCAGTAACTTCAGATCAGCCCAGAGATAGAAGAGATAGGTAAAATGAAGACTGAACCCAAGAATACTCCAGATATAGAGTCAGAGCATCCTTGGAATACACGGCAAGAGTATAAATTTGAGAAAGTAGAAAAGTATGCAGATGGCAAAATTTTTAAAAATATAACTGATGACTCTCTAAAGGCCAAATCTAATAATTGCTATTTAGTCTTCCATGGTCTCTGACCTCCTTGGGCTATGATGACCACTCCTCCTTTAATTACCTTGATTCCCCTTTCTTCTTTTCATACTATTCCTTCGCAGTCATTAAGCCCAAAGCTTAAAGGCTCGTGTTCTCTCCATAAGCGATACTAAAAGAGGTGATCTAGGACAAGAAGTGGGGTCACACTGCCTAATAATTCAATGCTTCCTTCATGAAAAAGTCTTCTAGGATTAAAAAATAGGGCTCGAGTTGTAGGTCTGTGGTTGAGCACTTGCCTCACATGCATGAGGCACTGGGTTTGATCTTCAGCACCACATTAAAATAAGTAAATAAAACAAAGATATTGTGTCTATCTGCAACTAACATAAAATAAAATAAAGTCAGCTAAGGTAAATGATGTGCTTGGTGACACAGCTGGTTACCTTCTGAAGCAACCCCTTCTATTATGCTGCTCTAGTAATATGCAGTCCGTGGGTGGGCAGCCCACTGGTGGACTAGATTTTGAGTAGCAGGTACTAGAGCTTCCTCCATGATCATCTCATCTTACTGCAGCTCTCAGCGGTTGGTCATGTCTATAAGAGGGCTTTCCTGAGAACCTCCAGACAGATAATGCTAAAGCTTTACCTCCTGATCTCTCAACTCAGTGTCCCACTGTTTGCAAGACTGCTCTACCTGAAGGTCTCATGGACACCACAATTAAACTTATGCAGAAGGAATTCTCTCTATTAAGACCTTTGACTAATGGTCAGCATCTCTCTAGCTTCCGTACTCAGAAGCTCCATCAAAGTAAGACTGAGTTGTGTGGGTTTTTTTTTTTTTTTAACTTCTAATTACTTTTGGTCTAAGTTCAAACTCTCATCATCTCTTGCCCCAATTCTTATAACAGGCTATTTCCAGGATTGCTAGTCTCAGTCTTTCACCATATACCTTGAGTGCCCCAAACTCTCAGCATGGAAAAGGAAGGCGAATACAGATTCTACAACATGGAGCTCTGGACTTGGTTGCCACATTTTGAATCTTTATCTCACTGCTAATTGGCAGTAGGACTATGTTGGTTATTTACCCTTTGAATGACTCAGTTTTATCATCTTTGAAACAGGAATAAAAGGGACAAAATCAGGTAAGACTAGTATATCCATAAAGGCACTTACAGTAGTGCACAGCATCAGCACTCTATGATGTTGACAACCTTAAAAAAAAGAGAAAAGTCTCAAGGAGTCACTCTACAACCTCATGCTAAATATTCTCCATGCT